GGATCGGGCTGCAACTCAGCCTTACAGAGCTAGCTACAGATGCCCTCGGACTGTTGCCGTAATCCCGCCTCCCGAAGCGTGACTGTGACGTGTCGGACCTGTCACAATTCTGGTGCTCGAAGCTGGTGGCCGACAAAGAAGGCAGTTCGATGCAGAGGCACAATACGGACTCCTAGACACCCAGGAGATAGATTGATAACTTTAATGAGCAGACATCTGCATTGAGAGGTCAAGAAGAGAAGTCAAGAACTTTTTCCCCCGCTGCAATGTCGCCTGAGCGCCTCCGATCCTTGGGACTCTGGGTTGGGCTGGGTACCGCTAGGCGAAGGGTATGTGCTGCAAAGGTTTTGAATGATGCATTCAGTTCGGAACGAGTACCAGGAATTTATAACGTAGGGGCCATAGAGACTTTGTTCCTCGATGGTGTCCAATACTGGTACATGACCGTTGTCATCGACCAAGGGTAGCTGGCAAGGCAATTATTTTTCATTGTCGACTCTCGATGTTGGAGTGCGTCTATCTCGCAAGGAAGGCGCCCATTGTCCTTCGAGAATATGTGGACAGAGCTTGCTTTCAGAGCGCCGACACGTATTGTGTCGATTTCCTGAGTATGTTTTGGGATGTATTGATTGTTTGGGATAGATACTGATTGAATATTGTAGCCTATAGATGTCCGGAGGCTCAGAGAACTTGTCTGAAGCGTGAAAAAAAAATGGACGTCGCTGAAGGCTATTGCTTCTCAATATCAGTTCTTCAAGGCATTGTCCAAACGACGTACTTGTCCCTCTAATTTAATCAAATTCCATATCCCCTCCTTCCTGCTCTGCTGTCAGCTGCGACTTGAGGTCGCAATATGACGAGTCTGATTCCATCAATTCGACCGCGAAGGCGGCCCATCTTGACTCCGCATATTCGACCGCGCATCTTCGTCCCCAACAAGTACACCTGCATATGCACCTCTGCCTTCAGATTTCTAGAGATTTTATTCAAGAACGTACCTATCTCATTGCCTATCGCCTCCCGAACTGCAGTTTCTATACCCACCGCGAAGAGCGAGTGGCTCGAACTTTAAACGTGCCCTATCACCCCAGCACACCCTCCAAACATCCTCAAATACTGGGAACCAGGCCGCGAACAAACCTATTCTGGGGGGCCTTCCCGAGCGCAGCTTTAATTCGGTGTATAAAATTGGGAACGCGTTCATTCTTTTTCCTTCCGTTTCTTTTTCCTTCCATCCCTCCCTCCTTTTTTAAACGGCCTTTGGGCTCTATCACGATTTTTCCATCCAGCTCATCATTGTTTCTCTTTCAGTTCGTGGTTGTTCTCACCTTCCTCGTGTTTAACTCGCTTTTAGTGTTCATTTTGAGACTAGCACGTCGAAGATGTCGAGTGTTGTTACGTTTCATGCTCAAGCTCGACCTGTAGTAAGAGTTAGTCAGACCAGCAGCGCGTCCTCGGCTCGAATTACGACGCCCCTTCTTCAACTTCATTATCCCTCGCGTCCATGTTTCTACACGATGTGGGAATGCCCATCAGAACCCATGGTCGTCACGGTCAGTCTTTTAGGCTCTTGACGTTTCTTGTCTCTCTGACGCGGTCGCCAACCTTTTATCTCCTCCAGCCGACGCTCCTTACTCGCTATGAGCCGCCGTTCATGGCAGTGGTGGCCAATGGAGCACCACCACCAGTAGTGAGTTCAGACCCAAAAAGAAAATGCAACTCGCAAATTTACACCGCTTCCAATTTTAGCTCCCACCAAATCAACAACAGCAAGACGCCTGGGGCGGTATCTTCGACAACGAGCTGTTCATTTGGATGAGGCGTGTTGTTGCAGTACGTCGATTCGTTCTTTGGACCTTCTGGATTGTTCCATGTTCATTTTGGCGATCGTCATCTCCCTTCGACACGTACAGACGCTCCGCCGGGAAGTTAAATCGATGACGACGAGATTCCTTGCGAAGCTTTCCTTAAAAATCTTGCGCTGCCGGCACTAAAAATCTGCATCACGCAAACTTACTTTCCAAAAAGGCTTGAGTGTCGTACGTGTTCAAACTTGTCCTCGCTACTGTTCTGTGCTGACCTGCGTTCCCATTCCGAATCTAGTGCATTGGCGTTCGCTGCATCCTTCATCTGATTCTTGGTACCCTTGTTTGCTGGCTGTACATATTATTTTTCGACGTTCTTTTCTTGACGATCTTGACGTCTTGTATATATTCTTTTTCTTTTTGTCTCGTCTTGTTCTTTTGGTCTTGTCTTCACTCCTTGCTTTACTCTTGTCAACACAATCGCTTTCATGCACACGCTCACCAGTTACACGTCGTATATCTCTTCGCATACCCCCCATCCACTAAAAGCACTCTACTTCCCTATAGATGTAAAATTTATTTTTTTGATGTACCACAGTACTTATCACGTATGTTAAATATCACGCAATTGCGCATTGCTTTGTAGTCTTCTGTCTTCCGGGCTTTGTTCGCTCGTTCCAGGCTCTTTGTTCTTAATGTTCGGAGGGTCGTGTTCAAGTTAATGGCTTCGGGGTGTTGACATCACCTTTCATGCCTAAATTTGCTCTGCACTCTTGATGATTTCTTGATCATTGTTGAGGGTTATTCTGGCGCACAATCAGAAATAGAACATATAGGATTTGGGAAGAAATTCGGTCGTAGTATACGAAGAAGAAAGTGTGCTACTTCTCTGAATGAAGATGAGCCTCGATATGTAAAGAAAGAGGCGAGTCGAGGAGGCTTTAAAGAAGAATAAAAACAATAAGACCTGCGGATGGGATGAGGCCTCCTTCGGTGGGGGCATAAGGAGAGCTGTAGGCGTGGGAGATTTCTCATGTCCTACACGCAGACACGCCCTTTCGGGACCGAGGTGACTATAAAAAGAGTCATCGAAATACAAGGGATAAGACAATGTAACTATGTACCAGTAAAATAATACTAAGAGATGTCTTAGAATCACCGCGTGGTGGTCGACAAGCTGCGCTAGTGACAGTTCAGGTCGAAAAGAACAAAATAGGCGCGTATTTGTTGAGATTTGGTTCTAGCCCCTGAGAAAAGTTGGGTCAGCGCTTAACCAGATATTCGACGCGTCATCACCTTTCTCCTGCTCTCTCATCAGCTTTTGTCTCCAGAATTCTTTTCAACGCGTAATTCTTTGAGTTTTAGAGTGCCCACACGTACCACCAATACTGCTCTTTGTTGCCCAGTCAGCGATTGCAATAAAGACTCGGAGACGTTCGAACATGCGTCAAGCTTGCTTTGTTCAACCACAACGATGTGTACGATTGTGCATACGCTTTCGAACCATATAATTAGAGCCTCATGGTGAGCACATTGTTCGTTCCATTCGCAAATCATCCGCAGTTTCGCCCCATCTGACATCACGTTGTATGACTAGACTCCACAGAACTGCCATCTGGGCTGTGATATAGCAGGCTTCGCCTTCGTTGCTGGCCTCCGTCGACTGGATGGCAGACCGTTCAGCCGCACATAAAGTCTCGATCCGAGTGCAGAAGGCAAATTAGCACTAAGCCAGTGCGCCGCACAGCATTCATTTGCAAAGAGCCCCTGAAAGGCTGATCGGGTCTCTATCGCGAACGTTTTGAGGCGACAAAGTCTGTCAGCACAAGACAATGGAAGTCACTATCGATGGATCGAAGAGGCGATACTGTCCGTCGATGGCGCACGAGGAGGACCTTCACGGCCTTCGTTGAATTAATTCTAGTGTATTTCTTCCATTTCAAAGGTGCCAAGCCCGGTCGCGACAGCTAATCTCCAGCCGAGAGGGTGAAGTCACCGCCTCGTTGTTCGCTCACTTGACGTCGGTGCTTGCCACTAATTGGCAGCGGTGCAGACCTTATCCATCCCAGTGCTTAAATAGCTCACAGTTCGTCTGCTGCCTAGCATCCCTCTACTACATCTCGTCGACCATGGATCTCCTCAACAGCCTCCAGAAACTCGCCCTCTCCGACAATAAGAAGGCGCCCGAGCAGCAACAACACCACGATGCACCCGCTCCGGCTGCTGCCCCCAAGCACGAGAACGTATTCGACAAACTGAGCGACAAACTCGGCGGATCGCACGCGACCCCAGCACCACCACCCGTCGCCACCCCCGCGCCCGCGCCCAAGCACGAATCCGTCTTCGACAAGATCGGCGATGCACTGAGCGGATCGCACGCACACTCGACTACGCCCCCCGCTCCGTCCGTCGCGACGCCTGCCGCCGCCGCACCCGCACACGAGAGCGTCCTCGGCAAGATCGGGAGCGCTCTGAGCGGCCTTCAGCACCATACCGGTGCCCCTCACGAAGCTGCCGCGCAGGCGCCGAAGAAGGACGACGGTCTCCTAGGCAAGCTTGGGGATGCGATCAGCGGGCGCAAGACGCCCCCTCCCCCACCGAAGGAGCAGAACCTCCTCGACAAGCTGACGCATGTGATCTCGGGGAAGGATGAGCAGCCTGCTAAGCCGCAGGGTCTGGCGGATAAGATCAACTATGCGCTCGGTGGTGGTGCAAAGGGCGAGCAGAATGAGGATAAGTTGGATAAAGGTGCGTTTCGGATTTATTCGATGGCTATTTTGTTCTTTCTTCTGACTTTTTTATGTGCTTGAATTTTAGCGATCGACCTTTTCCAGGAGCATGTCCTGAAGGAGGGTCCGCAGAACAACGAATCTGCGATCGAGCAGGCGAAGGATAAGAAGATTGCGGATACCATTAGGCACACCTTGGGCCGGGATAAGCCTGAGTGAATAGTGTGCTTCAAGTTAGCGCACATCTAATCCGTCAATGATCAATGTATACTTCATCTTCATCTTCATCATCATGTACTCTATATACCATTTCAGACCCCTCAATGCTCCATGTAAAAATTTATCAAATACCTTGTCTTTTCACTTCATTGGTTCAGCAGTGAAAATCCAAAAATTAAAATACATAGCTTCGATTCCTCCTGCCTGCAATAATTTATTTGAGCAGCAAGAACAAAGCCAAAAAGTATGACCGAGACAGGGGTCGAACCTGCAATCTCCTGATGCGCTTTCTGAATCGTAGTCAGACGCGATGCCATTTCGCCACACGGCCATGTTAGGTCGCAGAGGATGGACGTATTAGGCGCCCGAGGAAATGAAAATCACATTGGCGGATCAATGGTTTCGGAAAGGTAGGCACGCGTGCCGGCGGTGGTGATTTTCTCGACGCGGCGACATTTGCACAATCTCTCGGAGGGGAAGTGGATAAACTCAAGAGTATTTATGAACTCAAAGTGGGAAAGACACGGGTGGTGATAGAAAACACCTTATATATTGATCCTGACACTGTATCCACCGTCGAATAAAGTTGCTCGGCCAGTGCATGCTACATAAAGCCCATGGTAATACAATGTAAACTTCAATCATCCGCCTCCTTGGCTCAGTTGGCTAGAGCGCAGGTCTCATATATTGAATATGAGTGATGAGAATCACGTAATCCTGAGGTCGCAAGTTCGAGCCTTGCAGGGGGCAATTGCTTTTACTTTTCCTCGGGGTAGCTATAAGCGCCCATCATTCGCTTTGCATTGCTCGCAAGCTTGAGGTCCCACCGATAGGCTTTTTTTTACCAATCGAATCTCTGAGAAACAGAGTCTGCAGTGATGTCACAAAGTCAAGCCTGTCGAGGGAATGTGCTTTCAATTACACTGAAGTTCTGTATGACGCCTTGGTCCTTAATACTCTACTACTAAGTAAGTAGTTCCAGTTGATTCGTGCTATCGGATGTGGGTATGGGGGTCATGGCATTCTCTAATTCGTGTGTTCCCTAGACTGTAGGTCAACGAGGATGATGATCTTTCCTCGGTCGCCTGAAGTCAAGGACGATGACTTGCATGGTCCAAAAGTAATCATTCCCCAACGCACCTGGGAAGAACGATATCTCTCACAGCTCCTCTTCGCCTCGCTTCACCCTCTGCACAGGCCGCTGCACCTCAACATGCAGCACTCCATCGCCGCCTTCAATCCCTCCTAGAACGTCGTCACGAGCGGCGACCCAACGTTCCTTCGGGAAGCTATACAAATGCACATTGGCGAGCGCGCCTACCTGGCCGACGTAGGATAGTCCTGGGACTAGTACGCTTAGAGCTTCTGGGTTGTGGTATAGTGCCGAGTTCTGCGCGAAGGTGACGGATATGTAGGTGTGGGTGTCGTGGTTCATCTGGATGGGCATGGTAATTGAGATCAGAGGAGATGGGTGTCGGTGAGCGGTGATGACAATGCTTTGAGAACAAGAGGTTTGTTCAATCTGGCTAAGAAGATTCAAGTTTCGTACGAGCCTCAGGAGGTTCCGAGGGAGTTCGGAGCTGTCAGATCAGGATTTCGACAAGCGTCGAGATGATTATCCGGTCATAAAGTGTTACCTATCAGAGTTTAAGTTCTGGATTTCGTAGGAGGTTTCGGCGATGTGTGCCCTTATTTGGTGCCACCATCAACAATCCGTGATGGCGTTGATATCCACATCGTCTTTAACCGCTTCCACCTCCTGCGCTGGCAGCACTGTCGCTCTCTAGGCGTGGAATTGAGTCTCAAATTTCTTCGAAATCTCGCATTGTATGCTTTGTTCAAAAATGATCAAGTCAAGGAATAGGAACCCAAGAGATTCGAACCTTCACCGAGTTCGATACTATTTAGTGAACCGCGAGGTGGTTGCCTCCGGATCACAATCGATGGAACTGTACAGCCCCCTGCATGGATCCATTTTATCCAGCTCGACGCGAACGCATTACACATTACGCGCTAGCTCGCAAGGAATCAATCCGAAAAAAAAACATGATGTCCATGTCTTTCCACCATCTACCCTTTTCTTCGATTCAAAGCGTACGTGGGGCGCCCACGGCGATTACCCAAAGCCATTTTTAACCCTCCGAAGTGATTTGACTCCGGCGACGCCTCAACTGTGCGCTCTAGTACGCTCTCTTCATCATCTCGGCAAAGGAATCCTGACAGAGTGTCACTTTTGTGATGGAAAGATTCCATGCAAGCGTTGACCTGCATGGCTGCAATTGATATTCTTGGCGGATATGGATCCTCGCTTCGTACGTAGCGAACGTGTTGGTGCTCTCCACAACGCGCGCTCTGCGCCAGGAAAAGGAGGATTCTCCAGTAGGTCACATTCGAACGTGAGTTCTCGGTCTTTTGGGTGGTGATATTTTGGAAAGAATGTTCAGATATGTTTTTTGTAGGCTTTTCAGCGCCTGTCAGGATATCGCGCAAGCTCGAGAGCAACGGTGCAATTCAAACCATCAAAGATCATAAAAACCACGTAAACATCGCCTTTTAGCCCCTCATCACGCGCCCCTTGAGCCCAATGTGAAACGTTTAGGTCCCCGAAGTCGCGTTGGCGGACAAATACGGCCAATCTGGGCTGGGGTATATAAACCTGCCTTTGTTGGAAGGTATCCCCCAAGCCAGGTGCTCAATACTTCGAGTGAGTAGTCTCTTCATCGTTCAACGAGAGTTACAGCGACTGACTCTACTGCTCTTCTCTCCAGATCTCAGGCCGGTCCTTTGATTTCCCTCCAACCAAAAAAAAACTTCCACCGAGTACGCTTTGCCCGCTTCGCTGTACCATGTTCGAAACTTATGCGGACCCTCCTTACAGCCTCCTCGTCAATCCTTCTCACTACCACCCACCTTTTTAGACAATCATCATGCAGCTCACCGCTAACTTCATTGTTCTCGCTACTGCTCTCACCAGCGTCGTTGCCGTCCCCCTGGCGCGTCGCGATTTGACGATTGACGTCGAAGCACGCGACCTCGATACCGTCGAGTACGATGCTCGTGAGGTCTACGACCTGTCTCTTGATGCCCGGGAATTCGACGATATGTCCTTGGATGCGCGTGGCATTCAAACTGTAAGTCTTCTGTCATACTTTTTTTCTTTTTGATTTGCTTATCCTATGTTTCCAGCCTCTTTCTGCTACTCCTGCTACGCCCGTCACTCCTGTTACTCCAGCGACCCCGGTTACACCTGTTACTCCCGTTACTCCTGCTACCCCTGCAACTCCCGCCTCGGCGAAGGGATTCAAGGATATCCACACCATCCCTGATGACCTTGCGCGCATGAGCGCTGCCGACAGGAAGGCGCGTTATGAGAAGGCCCTCCACGATCCCAAGGACCCCCACTACCACGCCGCCGTCGCCTATAAGGCTTACAAGGAGGCTCTCGCCGACCCTAAGAGCCCCAACCACGCCGCCGCTGTGAGGCAGCACAAGTTCAAGCAGGCCTTCTTCGACCCGGCCAACCCGGGCCACAAGGCCGCCGTCGCTGCCCACCAGCGCAAGCTTGCGTATGAAAAGGCGCTCAAGGACCCGAAGAACCCACACCACGCCGCTGCGCTCGCCAAGCAGCACCAGAAGGCTGCGTTCAAGAAGGCCCTGAACGATCCCAAGAACAAGAAGCACCACCTCGCGAAGAAGATCCAGGCGAAGAAGGACGCCTTCCACGATGCGCTTGCGGACCCTAAGAACCCAAACCACAAGCACGCGCTGAAGAAGGCGGCTTTCAAGGATGCGCTCCACGATAAGAAGAACCCCAAGCACAAGCTCGCGGTGGCGAAGCACGAGAAGAAGAAGGCGCAAAGGAAGGCCAAGCACGCCGCCCACAAGGCTGCGAAGGCAGTTAAGCACGACAAGAAGCACGACGCGCAGAGACACGACTCGAAGAAACATGACAAGAAGCACGAGTCGGCGAAGAAGGCGACGTCGACCAAGAAGACATCCTCTGAGCGTGCTAAGCCTACCGATACCAAGAGCGCCTCTGCGAAGAAACCCTCTTCGACTTCGACCTCGACCGACAAGAAATTGTCCACTGAGAAGACCGGCGAGCACCACCGTCACCACCACCACGAGCTCGAGGAGGGCTTCAGGACCCACCGCCACCGCCACGGCGAGCTCGAGGGTGAGCGCCGCCACCACCGCTCGCACCGCTTTGAGGGCGAGCGCGAGTTCGGCGCTGCCCACCGCCACCACCGCTTCGAGGGTGAGGAGGGCTTCCGCACTCACCGTCACCACCACCATGCCGCCGAGGGATCGGTGAAGGCTTCTGCTACTCCGGCGAAGGCTTCCGCGACCACCTCTGCTACACCCTCTGCGACTACCAGTGCTAAGGCCAAGCCTACTGCGCACAAGGAGGTTGAGGAGTTCCCCTGGTAAATAGTAAAATAGCTTTGTTACTGTAAGATTTGGAGAAGCAGATTTTTGGAATAAATGTAAAGTTTTTTCGCGCTTTGATTTTCGTCACACTTTAAGTTGTTGAGCCTCATGAAATGCCGGCCTTCCATATACATATTTGGCCTTGAAGCTTTGAATGAAGATGCCGCTGAAAAACGACAGGTGATCAAAAGCGGGCGGGGTGACAGTGGTGTCCACTGCCAAGACCGGGTTTGATAACCATAAAGCGAACCGTCAAGACAATAACAATGATAATCCGGCCTCTCTCTCTTTTATCGCTTCGTCGCAGTACTCTCCTAACGAAAACCGCATACGGAGTATACCAATGGACACGCATACCACACACGCCCTAGAATCGCAGGTGGGCGGCCACGCAGGCGTCATGACCACCGAAGACGGCTCGCTCATCATCAAGCCCGCGCTGGCCCGCGAGCTCGAGTTCTACCAGGCGCTCCAGAGCCACGATATGCTGGCGGCGTTCCGCCCGTTCACGCCCAAGTTCCTGGGGGTGCTGAAGTTGCAGGGCCAGGTCGACCCCGCGCATGGCGATGCGCTCGAGAGCTTGGTGAATCTGCAGCCTGTTGCGGAGCAGAAAGATGAGTTATTGTTTCTCGAGGTTTTTTTGGTGTTGGCGCGTGTGCTTAGTATCTTTTTTTTTGGGATATCTACAGTCAATTGTGTTGGAGAACCTTTCGTTTGGGTTTTCGAAGCCGAATATTCTGGATGTCAAGCTGGGGACGGTGCTCCATGACGAAGATGCGCCGCCGGACAAGGTGGAGCGCATGTTGAAGACTGCGCGCGAGACGACGTCTTTCGAAACTGGGATTCGGTTGACTGGTTTCCAGGTATGTTCCTATCCATAAATTCCCTCAAGTCTTTGTTAGGCTAATGGCTATCGTAGGTCTACGACAACATAACCTCTAAACCAATCAACACGCCCAAATCATACGGAAAGAGCATCAAGCCCTCCGAACTTGCTGAAGGTCTCGCGCGCTTCTTCCCCGTCGGCTCTCCAATCCCAGCTCTTTTGTCAGAAAGCGACGGCACCCCCTCACACGGTCTCCCGCGCGATACCCTGATACCCCTCCTTAAAGCCATTCGCTCAGAGATAGCAATGATCCGCGAGATCCTCGCATCGGTCGAGATGCGCATGGTGGGCGGGAGCTTGCTCATCATCTACGAGGCGGACTGGGAGAAGGCTGCTGTGTCGATCCAGAAGCACCTTGAGCGCCAGGAGGAGGCTACGAGGAGGAGAGAGGTGGGTGTGATGAAGAATGCGTATGAAGACGAGGACGAGAACG